CAAATAGGCAAAAATGTAAGCACAACATTTTAAATTATCAACTTTAATTCTATATCCTTGTGATTATTGGTCACTTTTATTGTAACTAAATGAAAGGCAACTTAAAATAGTTAATGATTATAAATGCCAGCAAGATAATGCTTCTATAAAATACATTCATGGGTATATTACATTTACATTAGCCAGGTAGTGATATAATGACACCATAGATGTAGTTATGGTGGATATTTACTATAGTGACCACTGTAATAAAAGGTTTAATGAAGCTAAATGTAAGACATTAAGTCCAATCTAAATGTAAAGGTAACAAACTCAGAATAATGTCCAGTATGTCATTTCTGTAATATTCTTTCAGCACCAAAAATAATTCCAAAAATATTGATTGTTTTCTAAAGGTTTTCCTGAACACTCCCACTATCTTCAATTGTTTGGACAAACACCTTCTATATACACTTGCAGAAATATACATTTATCTATTGCATCATGAAGTTACTGCATGACTAGAACTAATGGATGGCAATGAATATGTCCTTTAGCAAAACTCCTGATAAGCACTGACGCTTCTTTGATAAAGGCATTAGGCAGGCATCAAGTACAGTTTATGAAGCTGAAAAGAGAAAACAAATTGCTTTAACAATATGGAAAAAGATAAATCACTATTTTCAATATTGGTTCTGCATATATCAAAGAGATCCTGAGGAGGAGTGGGACTCCACATGAAGACTTTCAGAAACTGTGACAGAGCAAAGGGTGCACCTCGCTGGACACATCCTACGCATGCCCAAACAACACCACCCAAACACAGTGATGAAGTGGACACCAGGAGGATGCAGGAGACAAGCAAGACCAAGGAAGACATGGAGACAGATGATTCACGAAGACCTGAAGAATGTCAGTGTCCCATGGGAAGATGTGGAGGACTTGGCCACGGATCGAATACGTTGGAGGACACTTGTTGCCCAAAGTGCCCTGCACAGGACTTGATGATGATGTTGTGAGTTCATCCATAACTGTGGGATATGTTTCTGTAAAGAGTGTTGCATAATTAAATGTTAAAAGCATTTTTTATGTAATAAGTTCACTGATATGTGGGCATTTCTATGAATAAAAGTATGTCTTTAATAGCAAGCAATAATCATATGAAAATTTAAAAACTCATATAAAAATAGCATGATTTACATGCAAACAGGACAGTTATCAGCTTTTCCACTCTTGCAAACAGAGGTAAGTTATGAGGTGTGGAGAGACATTATGTATCATGTATCATGAACAGACAGGGTCCAATTTGTAATAATTTTAATGAATACAATGCAATTAATATAAACTTTCTGACAGTGTGTGGAACATCCGACTACTTTCCAAGAAGGGGCGCAACTGATTTACAAATATCACGATAAATATGTACAGGAATTGAGGCAGTAGCCAATGACAGCACTAGGAGTAAAAGCTGCAGAATTATGTACGAGTATACAAATATGTTAGCCTGGTTAAAACCAGACCATTCTCAGTAGTAACTGAGTTATAGTCTGGCAAAGCTTCATAGACAAATCATTTCCAGAGGGGCGTCACCAACGGACGTCGCTCAAATGCAATCAGAGCGATGAAGGAGATGACGTATGCAGAGCGACGGAGAAACATCTCCAAGTGTTGTTCTTTGCTCGGGTTTTAACAAAAAGGAAACGTTCAAATCGCTTAAAACTGACGCGATTGCTGATTCGAACGAGTGATGTTCGACGGCGGCATCCATCTTTGTAATGTAGGCTACAAAATCTGCTTCACCGTCGCTGCGCTGTCATCATCGTGTAAAGCCTGCTCCAATGTTTCTGATTGGTGCCTCGATTTTGATGGATTAGAAATGATCTTGAATGAGCTCTTTGCCAGACTACTTGAAGAGCAAATCTAAATTTGCCAGAAGTTGTCTGGGTTTTCCCAGGCTACAAATATGTACGAGTATCGTACGAATTTGACAACTTGTTAAATCTTGTGAATTATTAAGACTTTGAGACTATGTTTGTACTGATTGGGCTATGGGTTTTGTAAGAAAAGGTTTAAGAAACAACAAATGGTTGATAAAATGTTTGATTTAGGGTTAAAAACAATACATACATACCATTGCGAATATTTGCCTTTGCAGCTTTCCGTCTCCTCAGTTAACTTCTCCTCCAACAATAATGGGTCGACTGAGTCCGAAAGGCCCTTTTGGTCTTTTCTGCTGAAAAAAGAGAAAATAAAATATCATTATGTATAATATGTGGGATTATTTAAAGGAAAAAGTACTGATTTAACTTACAAATATTGGATGTTACATTATTAAGCATTAAAAGCATGGTAAGTGTTGTGATTAATAGGCATTTACAACAAATATCACTTTAAAACTACCAATACTGAGGTAAAAGCATGGTAAGTTTGTATTTACTGTCCTTTACTATATCCATCACAGTAAAACTAAGGTTACTGAGGTTTAAAGCATTGTAGGTTCTGTGGTTACTGTCCATTTACCACACATATCACAGTAAAACTAGGGTTACTGTGGTAAAAGCATGGTAAGTGTTGTAGTTACTGTGCATTTACAATAATAAGTATCACATTAAAACTACAATAGTGTGGTAAAAGCATGGTAAGCTTTGTGGTTACAGTCCTTTTACCACACATATCACAGTAAAACTAACATTACTGTGGTAAAAGCATGGTAAGTTTTGTGGTTACAGTCCTTTTACCACACATATCACAGTAAAACTAGGGTTACTGTGGTAAAAGCATGGTAAGTGTTGTAGTTACTGTGCATTTACAATAATAAGTATCACATTAAAACTACCAATAGTGTGGTAAAAGCATGGTAAGCTTTGTGGTTACAGTCCTTTTACCACACATATCACAGTAAAACTAACATTACTGTGGTAAAAGCATGGTAAGTTTTGTGGTTACAGTCCTTTTACCACACATATCACAGTAAAACTAGGGTTACTGTGGTAAAAGCATGGAAAGTGTTGTAGTTACTGTGCATTTACAATAATAAGTATCACATTAAAACTACCAATAGTGTGGTAAAAGCATGGTCAGCTTTGTGGTTACAGTCCTTTTACCACACCTATCACAGTAAAACTAACGTTACTGTGGTAAAAGCATGGTAAGTGTTGTTTTTACTGTGCTTCTTCTACAAATACAACTTTGGAACTAATTGTACTACTTTAAACCTGATATAAATATGATTAATTGATTGAAGGTCTAGGCCTATAGCACGTCACGTGACAGACAGTGTTTAAATCACCCTGTTTTGAATTAGAAAGCAATGAAACGCAAAGCCTCCGTGGAGAGATGACAGATATAATGCAGTGACTGAACGTGAGCTAATCTGATTAATATCGACAAACAGAAAATACATTATATCAAACATTATAAGTGACAGCGTATTTACCACTACTTACCAACATCTGGCACACGTGAACTGGTGCCAAATATCGCGATGTGTTCGGGACGAGACTTCTTCAGCGCGATTTCCTACTAATAAAATATCATTTAAAAAAATAAAATAAACAGCATAGCAATCCAGCTTCCCTGGCAATAAGACCGAAATAATATTAAAATAAATAAACCATGATAAAATCTCGTGAATAAATGTCGATTAAACAGTTTCTCTGCTGCAGCCCGACAGGCAGAAACAATCGTGCTGTGATCACGAAAGATGCTTCCTATTGAAATACATTAGTTTAAAAAACGTGCTGAAATCACGAAAATAACGAAATGAGTTTGTCCGTGTCAAGAATCAATATATTAAATTACGTCACCATATTACGAACTGCAGTGAGACTGAATATTACGTGGTACCGTCACGGAACAGACCACTGACCAGAAGTTATCATAGCGATCAAACGACGACAGAATAATGCAATATCAAGTTAAAATCACTTTAAAAATAAATATTTAAAGTGAAGTACTTTTTAAAGTAAACCCAGAATGAAGCGATACGTTTCCAAATTATAAAACGACGTACGTCAATTGGGGGAGCGCAGGTCCGAACAGGGAATCCGTGTGTGGACCATGGATGCTGCCTGTCATTGACTTACATAGGCATCATTTCCGTGGGCCCATCACGTAATTTTCGGCGATTCCGTGAAACATGCCACGGATTTTGAGTTAAGGGTCCGTGTTCATTTCACGGAATTCTGTGAGATCAGGTTGATTTTTTGACATGCGCACACTGCACAAATATACAAAGATTCCCGCTGCGTCGCTTATAACCATTCTCCTACATTGGTTCTTTATTTGTTTTAAACAGCAGACTTAATATTTATCCAATTCTGATTTGGAGATATGAACATACGAACCGTTGTTCCGTATTGTTTATTTATCACGCAGTAAAAATGCCCAAAACCAGTCGTCTGCGGATGAAAATCTGAAACAAGGACTGATGAACGAGCCGTTGTCCTGCTTTACTTCACAGATGCTGAGTGAAGGGAGAATTATAGAATGACAGGACACTCATTTATATGACACTTTATTCATCAGGAGAACGGCTCGTTCAGCGCGTCATCGTCGTCCTTTCAGTTTCGGTTTTCAATCGATCAAGTGTACATGTTCTCTCGATAAACCACCCCTTTCAATCCGATCGAAATTATTTGTAATAGAGCCAACACTTTGAGTTTTGAATGGGTTATGTTATAGCCCTACTTGTTTTTATGAAATATCTTATAGTGACTGCATGATCATATCACCGTATTATTTACCGCCATCCGAGCCATAAAGCTTGGCGAGCCGCGCAATGAGTAACGCGGATCTAAAGTCATGAATTTTGAATTTGTCATTTATAAATAATATCTCTGTTATTTATGTGCTTGGAACTCGTATTTACAATGTGTTTAACTCCACTAGGGCACAAACACAGCAGTAATGTGACTCTCCTTCACCAGGAATGAGGAAGCTGCTTTTCAGACACTCCTGTTTTACACACGTCACTCAAACACACAAGCAGGAAACCATTTCAACTCCTCAGTTCATGGAAACAGAAACTGAAGTATTGTTGAGCTGTTGTGTGTCTGTATTCATGCAGTAAAATGGCAGAAGCCAGAATTTCTCAGGATGAGTTCATGTGTTCAGTGTGTCTGGATCTCCTGAAGGATCCAGTGACTATCCACTGCGGACACAGTTACTGTAAGATCTGTATTACAGACTGCTGGGATCAGGAGGATGAGAAGAGCGTCTACAGCTGCCCTCAGTGCAGACAGACCTTCAGTCCAAGACCTGCTTTAGCTAAAAACACCATTCTGGCTGAACTGGTGGAGAAACTGAAGAAGACTAAACTTCCTGCTGACTGTTACGCTGGAGCTGGAGACGTGGAGTGTGACGTCTGTACTGGAAGAAAACACAAAGCCGTCAAGTCCTGTCTGGTGTGTCAGGAATCTTACTGTCAAACTCATTTTGACCGTCATGAGGAATATCACTCTCGTAAGCCACACAAAGTGATTGATGCCACTGGACGACTGCAGGACATGATCTGCCGTAAACATGATAAAGAGCTAGAAATGTACTGTATTACTGATCAACAGTGCATCTGTGTGTGGTGTAAAGAGTATGAACATAAAAACCACAACACTGTATCAACTGCAGCACAGAGGACAGAGAAACAGGTATGAGCTGAGAGAGATTGATCACACAGAAATGAAAGTGTCTTTATTTACTCACTCATTTACTCATGTTGGTCCAAACCGGTTTGACTGAGTTTCTTCTGTGAAATATAAAATATGATATTTAGAAGAATGTCTCATATATTTTAGTTTATAGCTACATTGAAAGTTAATGAAATAAAAAAAGTCTCAAGCTCCAAAAAAAGAGAAAAAGCATAAAAGTAATCTAAACAACTAAAGAAAGAAGTACGCTTAAGTGTATTGACTTGCACTTGTAGTGTACTTCGAAAAACAGGCGAATCTCCACATATACCCGACTGTGACGCAATAGTCGGGATCATTAATATGTACGCCTCCAAATATTTGCATATGCCAGCCCTCAATGCCAGGCGGAACTGCGCAGCTGAAGCATGGCAGTTGCTCAGTGTTTGGATGTACACATGAACACAAAAGTATTTTTTAGTTCCTTCATCTGAGCCTCTGAAGAAACAATGGGTTAATTTTATTTTCTCTGGAAATTTCCAAACATTTCACCGACTGTTTCCTCAACTTGGGCCAATACAGAGCTGGCCTCGGATCGAGCTACCAAGCAACACTTTCTGATGTGTAATTGTTCAAGTTCAGACAGGTAATCTTTCTCTCAAAATCGTTCAATACTGTTTATGCATCAGTAAGTCAAGCCAGTGACTAAAATATCAACTTCACATCGTTTCTTTTAGTAGGATGAAAATAATCGTATTTAAATTGTGAACAAATTATATACAGAAAGCGATCAAAGAACAATCTTTCCACACAGCGCGAGTTTATCTGGACACTTGCCAAACTCGTTATGAAATCAATGACGCACGTTACTGCACAACGAAGCTCTTACTGTATTTACATCATCGTGTTTGCATTGGTGAAAGCATTAGAGAGAGTGCAGAAACTGCTTTGCAATGATAAGATATTCATTCTCGCGATCAACACACTGTCATCTGCTCAATGCTCATCACGGCAACATTTTATGTGATGGGAATAGATCTAAATACTTTAAAAACATCTCACGATTCGTTAATCTCGATAGCTGTTATAGTAAAAACGTATAATAGCAGTAGTAAAAGTATTCGAGAGAGTTTCACATGTAATGCGTAGCTATTTCATATGCAAGCATGTCAGCCAATCACAGCAGTGGCCGCGGTTACACTGAATCCCACAGCAGACACGCCCCTTCAAACAGAGTGTTCAAATCAGAGGCTAAAAGCAGGCTAGGAAAAATGCCATTTATTTCTAAATTATGATTATTTTTGATCTAAAAAACATACTAACATTATAAGGGCAACCCAGGAAACATTATAAAATAATACAAAAAAACATTCTAGGGCACCTTTAAGTGCACTTAAAGAGTCAACCAATTCAATTACTGTTTCATAAGTACACTTTATAAAGTAAACTTTTTATAATGTACAATTAAGTTTCACTTCAAAGTATATTTGAATCATATTTAAAATTATAAATAGAATTAACAAAATTACATTACATTTACAATAGAATTATAAAATTACATTATACTTAAATCCTAAGTGGGTCACAAAGTGTTCCATTGCCTTTCAATGTATAAACTAAAATATATGAGACATTCTTCAAAATATCTTTTGTTGTGTCTCACAATAGAGAGAAAGTCATACAGGTTTGGAGCGACTTGAGGAAGAGTAAATGATGATACTAATGATATAAAACTATGTAACAACATTGAGTTTTACATTAAATTAGCTCAAATTATTTATAGGGAATTTTAATAATTAATCATGAATCTGATTAATATATTGCATATTACAGTTAAATTATCGAAGTTGAAAATAGATCGATTGTACATATGAATGATCAATCACAACGGATCATAATTCCTCATTCATATATCTGTCACGGTTGTGGTGTAGATAAAGACAGAGGCTGAGACAAAAAGCTCCAATTCAAACATTTACTCGAGAAACTCCAAAACAGGTACAGGGATGACAGGCAGAAGGGATCTCACACGCAAAAACCATTAAACATAAACAACGACCGACAAGGACAGGCAGAACAGAAGCAAACTAAATACAAGTCCAAATGAACACTAACGAGGTGAAGACAGGTGAAACAGATGATGATAACGATGAACAGGCTGGTAAGTGAGGGAGTGAGTTCAGGTGTGGAGACAAGGAGGATACTGGGTAGTGTAGTGCAGACAAGGACAGACAGGTGCAGACGAGGACTGTGACATTACTCCCCCCTCCCGGTAGGCGTGACCTCACGCCTTAGAACAGGGGTGGGAGGGTGGGCATCCTGGAGTCTGTGACGGGAAGGCGGACCGGGTGCAGGAGGACGGACTCCAGGATGGACCAGGCGGCCATGGTGGAGCAGGGCGAGGGCGTGGCCAGGACGGAGCAGGGCGAGGGCGTGGCCAGGGCGGAGCAGGGTGAGGGTGTGGCCAGGGCGGAGCAGGGCGAGGGCGTGGCCAGGGCGGAGCAGGCGAACCCTCGGGCGTCCAGGGCGGAGCAGGACGTGGGCGTGACCACGGCGGAGCAGGCGAACCCTCGGGCGTCCAGGGCGGAGCTGTTGGACCCTCGGGTGTCCAGGGCGGAGCAGGCTGAGGGCGTGGCCACGACGGTGAGGACCCTTCAGGCGGCCACGGCGGTGAAGACCCTTCGGGCGGCCACGGTGGTGAAGACCCTTCGGGCGGCCACGGTGGTGAAGACCCTTCGGGCGGCCACGGTGGTGAAGACCCTTCAAGCGACCACGGCGGTGAGGACCCTTCGGGCGGCCGTGGCGAAGACATATGGCCCCCCCCAAAAAAAATATTTGGGGAGAGTGACTGGATGAGGGACAGGCTCTGGGACAGGCTGGGCAGACGGGACGTGAACAGTCTCTGGCTGGGCAAGCGGTGAGGGCTCTTTGCTGGGCGGAACCAGCGGCGAAGAGGGCTTTGAGCTGGGTGGGACCAGCGGTGAAGTGGGCTTTGAGCTGGGCGGAACCAGCGGCGAAGAGGGCTTTGGGCTGGGCGGAACCAGCGGTGAAGTGGGCTTTGAGCTGGGCGGAACCAGCGGTGAAGAGGGCTTTGAGCTGGGCGGGACCAGCGGTGAAGAGGGCTTTGAGCTGGGCGGAACCAGCGGTGAAGTGGGCTTTGAGCTGGGCGGAACCAGCGGTGAAGAGGGCTTTGAGCTGGGCGGGACCAGCGGTGAAGAGGGCTTTGAGCTGGGCGGGACCAGCGGTGAAGAGGGCTTCGAGCTGAGCAGGACCCGCTGTGAAGAGGGCTTTGAGCTGGGCAGGACCAGCTGTGAAGAGGGCTTTGAGCTGGGCAGGACCAGCTGTGAAGAAGGCTTTGGCGCGGGACCAGCGGGCTCTGGCTCGGATTGGCTGGACGGAACCAGCGGTGCAGGCTTGGCTGGGCTGGACGGAACCAGCGGTGAAGAGGGCTTGGCGCTGAACGGAACCAGCGGCGAAGAGGTCTCTGGCTGGACGGTCTCTGGCTGGACGGTCTCTGGCTGGACGGTCTCTGGCTGGACGGTCTCTGGCTGGACGGTCTCGGGCTGGACGGTCTCGGGCTGGACGGTCTCGGGCTGGACGGTCTGGGGCTGGACGGTCTCGGGCTGGACGGTCTCGGGCTGGACGGTCTTGGGCTGGACGGTTCTCGGGCTGGACGGTCCCTGGCTGGACGGTCCCTGGCTGGACGGACTCTGGCTGGATCAGCGGTGAAGGGTCTGGGCAGGAAGTCATGGCATGCCCCGGGAGGAAGCTCTCCAGACATCTGGAGATTGCCTCTCTCCAGTCCAGACCGGAGATGTCTGGGAGCTCCCTCGGATCCACGGACTCCACCCCCAGCCGATAACATGCCATGATGGCCCGGTCGCCCAGAGGGCTGGAGGCAGCCAGAGGAACAAACCTCCTGGTGAAGGTGAACAGATCGCGGCTATGCAGAGCCAAAGCCGCGATCTGTCCAGCGAGCTCCCAGCTCATATTGTTTAGGTCGGTCGTTCTGTCACGGTTGTGGTGTAGATAAAGACAGAGGCTGAGACAAAAAGCTCCAATTCAAACATTTACTCGAGAAACTCCAAAACAGGTACAGGGATGACAGGCAGAAGGGATCTCACACGCAAAAACCATTAAACATAAACAACGACCGACAAGGACAGGCAGAACAGAAGCAAACTAAATACAAGTCCAAATGAACACTAACGAGTTGAAGACAGGTGAAACAGATGGTGATAACGATGAACAGGCTGGTAAGTGAGGGAGTGAGTTCAGGTGTGGAGACAAGGAGGATACTGGGTAGTGTAGTGCAGACAAGGACAGACAGGTGCAGACGAGGACTGTGACAATATCAATGGCTCCTTTCCAGATCGATTAAATATGAGATAACTTTAAAGGAATTAATTTAGTTATCAAACGATCTGTCTGTTCAGCAAACGGCCGTTAGATTAACTTGTCAATTTTCAACAAAAATTCTCTCTTTCTTATAATTCAAAAAGCTATTTTCTGGCCACGAAAATCACCTTCCTGTTATTATAAAATTTAGGTTACTGAAATAGTAACAAATTGTAAAGCTTTTGTAGCTAAAGATCAAACACTTCATTGACTTGTAAATATGAGCATTTTAGACAGAAAGCAATCAAGAATATGGTTTTAATACAATGAAACTACGGATACAGAATCCTACATTTAAACCCGGGATACATGTATGTACAGTAAACAGTAAAACTAACGAGACAAACGAATAACAACGGGAGTGAGAGAGAGAGAGAGAGGGAGAGAGAGAGAGAGCTGATCGTGAAAGATCAGTGTGTGTGTGAGAGAGAGGGAAGATCTGGAAAGATCAAAGAGAGTAGATCTGGAAAGATCAGAGAGAGTAGATCTGGAAAGATCAGAGAGAGTAGATCTGGAAAGATCAGAGTTTGGTAAAATTCTTACGATACTTACGATATGAAGGACAACGGATCAGCCTGTTCCCGGATCTGTCAGCCGAGACGCGGCAGCGGCAACGCCAGTTTGATGGA